TCAGGAGGTTTAGTCAGTACAGACATTGCTGCTTGCAGGCACCAAGGTATCATGGGATATGTAGTCCTTAGAGATTGAAAATAAACAGCAGAGGAGAAGCTGAAAAACATGCAGGGAGTCCAGAAAGTTGTGGAAAGAGATGGCCAGGCAGAACTCACAACATGAAAGGAGATTTTTCAAGTAATCTTATATTCAATTGTAAAAAAAAATGTTTGTATTACTATTACAACAATGTTATAAAATGAAGGTGAATGTTGTGACCACAGATTTCCTTTAAGTGAGTGGTAAGTACACCCAAGACTTGTCATTCAATGTTGGCTATAAACCTGGTATATTGAAGCATAATGATTTACTAAAACTGGAGAGTGCAAAATCTGGTGCAGCTCTGCACAGAAACCAATCAGCTTCCAGATTTTTTTGTCAAAGCTTAACTGAACAAGCTGAAGTTAGAAGCTGATTGGCTACCATGCACAGCTGCACCAGATTTTGCACTCTTCAATTTTAGTAAATCAACCCCATATTATCTGTTTGTTTGTTATATTGTATTTAGGGACTTGTTAAATTGTTTTAGTGCACAGCAGAGTGTTCATAATCCTTCTGCTAATAAAGAATGGGTTTCTTCTTCAATTCAAAGACTTGCTGGTAGTTTTTTTTTCTAAATTGGCCCTTTATATACATATGAGGCAGTCCATGGAATAGATGATGCTACAGAAGATGCTATTTTGCGAAAATCACTCGATTTCCCCCTCCACAGTCGGTGTTGATTGTAGACTTCCTCCGTCAGAAACTATTGTTTTCTCCTGGCAGGGGGGCATGGGGAGCCGTCCCTGCCGGAGAACGCAGTGATTACTGCTAGTGGCTATAACCGTTGGCAATAATCACATGCCAAAAATCCAACACGCTGGTTGTACCCAGGTTGATCAATGGATCAAATTGGGTATAGTCAGCCTGACCACAGATGGATTGAATCTGGGATAGACCCTGCTGAACCAGCCAAGATTTGAACCATCTATGGCCGGCTTTAGCTTGTAAGTTCCCTGAGGGCTGCGACTAATGAGAATGAATTGTATAAATTGTCAGTGCTACAGTATATCTGTAATAAATAAACCACAAATTATTTAAATATATCACTTTTGAAGTATGCATTATGACATATTACAACTGCATGATGTGGGTTATTTTATTTCATAATGATCAGAATAACTCAGTTTTCAGTGACTGACATTAGTATTTTCAGTGGGGTAATTTTCTTATCAATTTAGGAGCAATAAACAATAAAGTGTTCCTGTGATAATTGCAGAACAATGTTTATATTTTTCCATGTTCATTAACACCAGAAATCACACAAGAGAAATGGATGGTGATCTCTAAGGAACCATAATTCCCTGATCATTCAAAAAAGAATTTATATAGCAGGCAAAATAAAATATATGTCATATTAAGACTGACACCATCAAAACATGTAACAGAGAGTTATATATACTGACAGATGTGAATTACTGAATAATTTATTGCCTAAATAGGACAAACTATGAGCATATCCATTAAAAGGAACATTTCACAAGACCAGGAAACGTAAGTTCTACCTATTGCATTTTATAGACAGAAAAATCTGTTTACAGGATTACGGCACTTTTAAAGCACACTATTGGTTGACTTATTCAAGGGGTGGAGCAAGTTCACTCTGCAAAGGTCAATTACCCTTAGCAAGGAAAACTTTTAAAAACTGTGTTTTTGCTTGCACATGATTGGATGATGGAAGTCATTGAAGCTTCACTTCATTCACAAAGGTAAGGGGAAATTCCCTTGCAAAGTGAAAAAAACACTTTTCTAAGTGAACCACCTTTTTCCCTTTAGTAAATCAACCTCCTATGTATTTTAATATATTCATGTAACAACCAAATAAAGCCTCTCACCTCAGCAATTTTTTTTGCAGCAGTATTTTGGCAGAAAACCATGTGACACATTTAAAGACACGTGTCTAATCACATGTTAACCCTAAGTGCATCAAGCTTTGGGCGTTAATTAATTTCAAAGGACAAAATAATTTATTTTTCTGGCAAATGAAATGAGTTAATGCCCAAGCGCTTGATGCTCCTAAACACGTCTAGATGTCTAGTCTAGTTTACACACGCCAAGCATTTTGTCTGCTAAAATACTGCTGCCAGGAAGATTTTCACCCAACCGGTTACCAATAACACCCAGCACAGAGTAAAAAGGGCAATGGACACAATATTTCAATGACCACAGCAGGGGCGGACTGACAACCCATGGGGCCCCCAGGCAATAGGGGATCATGGGGCCCCTGTGTCCTTGGCCAAACTCAAAAAAGCCTATGAAAAAGGTACCAGGGGTATCTCATGGGGCCCCCTACTGACCCTAGGCCTTCGGGCAGCGCCCGGGTTTCCAAATGATCAGTCCGCCCCTGGACCACAGTTGTATTGAATATCTCAAGAAAGTTAACACTTAGGGGGTTACAAACTATTTACAGCAATTTACATAATTTGAAAGACTAAGTAATTATAACACAGGGTGAATGTTTATATAATGTCAGCAGACTGTAATTAACCCCTGTGCATCAATGGTGCCTACTGGGAATGCAGCCCTGGTTGTCGGGAAGAGGCTTAGGAAAACTGCCAGCTCCCTTGCAACCACTGGTGCAATGCAATGGTACCAAGTGAATGTAGACATTCATAAGAGGAGGGGGCGCCCCTTTAAGTAAGTGATGAGCTTGGTTATATGAAATAGAGTCAAGCCAATGATTGGGGATAGTATTTTCTGCTCAGAATTTGGGGTCTTTTAAAGGTGAAGCGTGATGAAGAATGACAGTCAGGTCTGAAGACAGAACTGGTGAGGTAGCAAAGCAAAGATTCCTCAATTGACTTGGGTATACAGGTGTCCGCTAGCAGTACTTTTGCACAACTGGGTAAAGCAGCAAGGTAGGCAACTGCCCTACATGATGACCTGGATGAGTTTTTATCTCTCCGTTGTAGAGGCGATGGTCATACAGCGCTGTAAGCTGTGATGATGGATGATGCTGAGAAGGCATGGTGATCTACGGTGCAGCTGTGCAGATAAATGGGCAGTGTGTCACTATTACAGGCTGAGCTGCTGAGTCCGTACGCAGGTACACGAAGAATGGTGGCCTCTAACTGTCCTCTCTGATGTCCCCAAGCCAAGAGATTGAGACCGCAAGAAGCAGTCAATTGTATAGGCTTTCCCATAATCCTTTATTGGATCTGCTTTCTGGGATTTGTAGTTCCAAAGGGATTCTGAAATACAATAAGGGTTGGCTGCAGGATTACAGTCCCTAAAATCCTCTGCTTTGGTACAGGAAGAACACCTCCTCTTCTCTATAGACAGGAGGTGATGAAACAGTCTGGGTCCCGGGTATTAGGATGGAACTGACTAATCTATGGTCCAGTTTGACAATGTCCCCTTGATTCCATTTTGCAGTGGCTGGCACCTAGCTACAAATGCATCAGGGAATCCTGTAGATGTACGTTCTGGTTTCCATGTTAGGTCTGGAATCACACATTTGCAGAATCACAAAATATGTATAGCACAGCGAGGAAAACATTCAATACATAAGTGTTTAAAATGTATGTTTAACATTTGGGTGGGGTCTGTTTTAATAGCTTAAAAGCTGACACAATTCCAGATATAGACCCATATCAATACAAATATTATTGCAATATAAAAAACTGAAATCTTGACTATTAGGTGCCTTGTACAGAATACTCAATGACAATCCTTAAGGGTAACCTACTCAGAACCATAAAGTGCCCCTACAGTGTGTGTGCATGTGTGTAGTATATGACTGTATATTTACCTGTTTTATATGTGTTTATTACATTTCTTCAGTTGCTTCCTGGATTCTGGCCTATGACAAAATGATGCCATACATCCCAGAAGTCTTCATGGGCATTTTTTTCTTTCACCTGGAGTAGGAGTTTCTGATCTAAACACAACCTTCTGTCTGCATGCCTGAACTAAGGGCAGATGGACTCCAGGAAATAAATGCTAGAAGAATAATCTGCTCTTACTCATGATGGCCGCAGCTAGAAACACCAGGGGGAAGGGGGGTTCAAAGTGATTTCTTGACAAAATAAATGGAGACATGGATGGATGGGTCAGTTTGCTGCAGACATTAAAAAAAGGATTAAATAGTGTTTTCAGTTTGTAGTGATCAGATAGGGTCAAGTTCCACTTTAACCTCTTGGAGCCCATGTAATGCATGTGTGCAGTAGCAGAGAGAATGGACTTTAATACCCACATGTGGTACCTATGTGTCCATGGATGGAAGAGCTTTCTGTGCTGAAAGCCTGCCCATTGTGCACTCCAAGCATAATGATAGAGCTGTGAAAGACAGCTCTCAATCTGTACTTATGATCAGGAGCCAGCTAGACCAGCTCTCTATCATGTGACGACTGTGACAGCCAATCACAGTGTTCATGTGATCAGCCATCCCTTTCTGCCCCCCCCAGGCATAAAGACCCTGGTAAAGGGCTGCCAGGGCTGGGTGGGAAGGAGTTAAGCACAGATTTAGTAAACTTCATACATTTATCTGTACTTTCCTCCTACAGGGAGAGCCATGCCAGAAAACAACAGTACCGTGGTTCGGGATTTCTTCCTCCTGGGATTTCGGAATCTGTCCTTTTACAAATGTATATTATTTACTCTTCTTTTAGTAGTGTATGTTGCTTCTCTCAGTGGGAACCTTTTGATAGTTACTTTAGTTTCTTTAAGCAGAATTCTACAGTCCCCCATGTATTTTTTCCTCAGCCATCTGTCCTTTTGTGATACCATCTTTACTACAAATATTTTGCCAAACATGCTTGATGTTATACTACGAGAAGGCAGCAGAGTGTCCATTGCTGGCTGCATTGCCCAATACCACATTTTTTGGCTTATGTGCAACTACAGAATCATTCCTTCTCACCGCAATGTCCTACGATCGATACTTGGCCATCTGCCATCCATTACGGTACACTGCAATTATGAATATAACTCTGCAAGCTTTTCTACTATCTATATCATGGTTTCTAAGTTTCTTAGTGACTCTGATCTCTCTAGTTCTTATAAGCAAGCTTCAGTTTTGTGGCTCAAATATTATTGACCACTTTTTCTGTGATGTGGCTCCAATTTTAGAACTTTCTTGCTCAGACACGTCTCTAGTAAAATTGGAGATATATGTATGTTCTGTTCCCATAGTACTTTTACCATTTCTGTTCATTACGGGCAGTTACATTTCTATATTTGTGAATATTATCCAGATATCTTCTACTACTGGTAGACAGAAAGCCTTCTCCACTTGCAGTTCTCATCTGATTGTTGTATGTATGCCTATACTATGGAACGCTCTTTGCCGTGTATGTCGTACCAACAAACCTCTCCTCTCTAAATATGAGTAAGATATTGTCCCTGTTGTACACTGTGATTACTCCATTGTTTAATCCAATTGTGTACAGTCTTAGAAACCAGGATATAAAGACGGTACTAGAGTCTTACATCTATGGGAACCAAAAAAGAAATTGATCTATAAATATACGTACAGTATATTGTATGTAGCAAAGGTGGAATTACTGCCATAGTCACTCGCACATCTACTAGGGCATGGGGTATTGAATTATAATTCACAGAGGTCCAGGTCATTAAATTGTTCATCCAGCAGAAGTCTGAGTCCGAATGTTTTTTGCTATGACTCGGACCCTTCATATCACAGCCCCACCCCCTTTTACCCCTCTTTATATCATAGCACCCCCTTTACATTACATTGCACCCCTTTACATCACACGATCTCATTATATCCCCCCCCTTTACATCACAGCCCCCCTTTTCAATACAGCCCCCATTTGCTTCCAAGTCCCCCCATTTATATTACAGCCCCTCTTTACATCAATGCACTCTGTACCCCCTTCACATCACAGCCCCCCTCCTTAAATCACAGACTTTCCCCCTTTACAACTGTGTCCTCAGCCCCCACCTCACATCACAGTCTCTTCCTCTTCGCATTGGTGTCCTCTGTCTGCCTTTAACAACACAGCCCCTGCCTCCTTTCATCCAATTCTCCTTCACATTTCCCTTTCCTTTCCTTTCACCTCAGTCCCCTTCATAGCCCCCATTACTTGTATCCCATTCCCCTTCACAGTCCCCTTCCTTACATCCCAGCCCTCTTGACAACCCCCTCCTAGTATCCCAGTCCCCTTTACAGCTCTCCTTCCTTGCATCCAAGTCCCCTTCACAGCCCCCTCCTTGTATCACAGTCCCCTACATAACCCCCCTCATTGTATCCCAGTCCCCTTCACAGCCCGCCTTCCTGCATCCCAGTCCCCTCCACAGCTTCCCTCCTTGTATCCCACTCCCCTTCACAGCACCAATTCCTTGCATCCCACTCCCCATCACAGATTGCTTCTGTGTATCCAGTCCCCTCCATAGTCCACCTCCTTGCATCCCAGTCCCCTTTGCAGCTCCCCCTTACTTGCACCCTAATCTCCTTCACAGCCCTCCCCCCTTCCTTGCACCCCACTCTTCACAGATGCTCCTTTACTTGCACCCCAGTCTCCTTCACAGCCCCCCTTCCTTGCACCCCAGTCCCCTTCACAGCCCCCCTCCTTGCAACCCAGTCCGCTTCACAGACCGCCTTATTTGCATCCCAGTCCCCTTCACAGCCCCCCCTTACTTGTATTCCAGGTCTCTTTATAGCTGCCCCCTCCCTTACTTGCACCCCACTCCCTTTCACTGCCCCCCTTTCTTGTATCCTGGTCACCTTCACAGCCCCCCTTCCTTCTTTGCAACCCAATCCCCTTTATGTGAATGCCCCCACTCTTACATCACATTTTCTCTCCTGTCAATCACAATCTTCCTACAACTAATCCTATGTTACACAGCAGGTAGAAGGCAGAAGGTGCAGCATGTCCAGAAAGAGGTTGGGAACTGCCCAAATTTTTTTTTTTACCAGGTAGATGATTGGTTGCTAGGACCAGCAGCTCCTGCCCAGGAGAGGAAGCTCAGATTGCTAAGTGGTGGAGCCGTGGTCCGGATAGGACTGTTTTGCTGTCCATTTTCGGACCACGTTCCACCATTTAGTGATACCTGTGCTAGGGGATCAGGATAATAGGTGCCCTATGCCAGATATAGAACCCTACAATGCCATCCTAGGTGTTAAAAGTTATTTTATTATCCAAGACCAGTCATTGTAGAGTGTACTGAATGGCCTGATCATGCTACTGTTAGGAGGACTGGCACATATAGAGTCTCTATATGATTTTATTATTGGAAAAAGCATGAAGTTTGATCAGAAAACACAGCATGCCTCACTGGTCAATCCTACAGATATGTTCACTCTTCTTAGACCTCACAAATGCTACAAGGGTAGGCCATATTAAGGCTCCAGATAGATCAACCACGTCCCTTAGTAAACATGCAAGCTTCAGCTACACTTCCCGCATCTTAGACACCCCCCTTCCCCCCCCCCCCCCGATGTGTTTCACCCTAATTGGGCTTAGTCATAGAGGACCTCAATTGTTAGTTTTCAATAATAACTGTACAATGACAGCTCAATATTACCACCAACAGGATATAATCAACTAAAGCCCCGCTAAATGAATAGAATGCATGTTAAATTTGAACACCAGGCAAACATAAAAAACATCCTTTAGTCTAGTTATGTTTCATTATAAGATAAGGACAGTCTTTTCAACACTCCCCCCCCCCCCTTCCCCAATAGTTTGAGCATATAATATACTTAAAGCCGAAGTTGAGCCTTATTTGGGGATATAGCTCCAAACCAATCTACTACAGGCAGCTGCTTCTTGTACAAAGCGTTTTTTCAGCCCCCTTCATAGATGCCAAATATTGCCCTAAGCAGCTATCTTCCAATGCTGTATAGGTTAACAGCAACTACTGCTAGTGTGTAGAGTTGTGTCACTCAACCACCCCTTCTGTCCTCTCCACCATTCTGAGACCTTGCACTACTATTCTCCCACAATGCACTGAGTTCTGTGAATGGAGGAGGAGCAGATGAATGACAGGATCACCACCGCCTGTTCACAGAATGCGTGGCATTGTCAGAGAATAGTAGAATGAAGTGAAGTCTCTGAATGGTGAAGAGGGCAAAAGGTGGTGGGCAAGTGGTGCAATTCTTCACACTACTGTCAAACTATATAGTATAGTACCATCAGATTGCCACTTAGCGTAATATCTGGTAGTTATGAAGACGGTATGAAGGGAGGATTTTTAACAAGAAGCAGCGGCCTTGTAGAAGATAGAGTACACATATATGTGGATTTGAACAGCATGCAATCTGCATGATATGTGAAATAACATTACTTCCTATGGTGCCTGCTCACATACAGTATGTCCGGTGCACAGGCAGTATGAATTCAGAACAGATTGAAAAAGAGTCCTGTCCGATTTCTGAGCAATGCAGTCCGGTTTAGGTGAAGATTTCAGGATGTTGACTTCTATGGGAACCATTTCTAAAGAGCACGTCATCAGTTGTGAATAAGATAAAATCCTGACCTGAACCTGATCTAATCCTGGCCTGAACCTGATCTGAACCTCTGAACAACTACTGTGTCAATTAGCTGTAAAACCTGAGCTTCAATCTGCACTGCACATGTGTGAATCATCACTAACACGTAACTAATGTGTTAGCTGCTGTATTCCAAAATTTTGAAAATACTTAACTTCATCTTTAAAGCAGAACTCTGGCTTTGACTCACTCCAACAAGAAAAGAGACATCAAAGCACAAGATTACCTAAATGGAACCACGCACATATTGGCATTCTAAACAGTATGTATGTACGAGTATAATCCATTAATGCTAGATTTCAGGAAATTTGAGACAGGTAGGTCTGTTTCCTGAAGTTTTTCAGCTGTATTGTTAAAAACATTCAAGACAAGTTGACATCTAAAGATGGCTGTAAAGAAATTCTTCATTTTGTCATCTTTTGGGAGACAGCAATAAGTCTACTTTGGATATTTTTGAAAACATCCCATCTGAGTTACAAATTCAAAAGGCATTCAAGGTCACCAGATTGCCATCCAAAAGCAGTGGGGTGGACATGTGCACTTACCAAGTGATGTACTGGGAAGTTAGGACATGTTCTATATTGAGGTCAATTGCAATAAATTGCACATACCTGTATACTGTAACATGTTATGACAGACAGCAGAGCAAATGTGTAAATAATAATTGTTCATTTTATTGGTTTTAAATTTATAGACGTCATCTTAATTGTACTTTAAAGTACAGAGAAGCATGTGCTAGAAAAACAAAATCTCTTTATAAAGTACACTGCATTTTAAAGCCATGTACTGTATATTCCAATGACACATTGGGTTTTTTCTTTTACTTTATATTTGAACCAAACAGAGTGTGTAAAATATGAAAACAGTAATACAGTAATGGCTCTTATATAATCAGAAAATGAATCACAATCTAGAATGCAATCTAAATATTTGACTTTCCATTATGGAATATAGCAGTGGTCCTTAATACAGCTCAGATTCCTGTCAATAAATTGTAAAGGTTTTTGTCAAGAAAAATAAAATAAATGTAAAGATATAAAGTAAAGAATAGGATATTAAGGGGGAATATGATCAACATGTATAAATACATACCACTGACCACTAATCCATCACAACAGGGTTGATCAGCACTGCCAATGATCACTAATGCAGCATGAAGGGGTTAATTAACACTATGACTGGCTGCTAATATAGCATAAAGGAGTCAATTAACACTAACAGTGGCCACTGCTACATTAGTAACCATTGTCAGTGCTAATTAACCCTTTCATGCTGCCAGTGGAAGTGTTTATTAACCCTGTTATGCTAAATTAGTGGTCTGTGGCAGTGTTAATTACCTCCATCATAATGCAGCATAAATGGGCTAATTAACACCCCCACTGGACACTAATGCAGCACAATAAGGCTAAATAACACTGCCACTGGTTGCTAATGCAGTAGAGGCCAGTGACAGTGTTATTTAACCTCCCTGGCGATATTCCCGAGTGTAGCGCGGGGTAAAGATTCAGTACCACAAGCGGTAACCCCGAGCTACACTCGGGCTTACCATGCGGTGCTGCTCCAGGATCTGTTCTTCACTTGCCTTGTCCTGCGCTCCCACGATGTCCCTCCTGCAGTGTCCCCGGCAATGTCCTCCGGCGGATGCCGGCATCTGTCTTCTGGGTTCCGTCCCCTGTAAGCGTCAGGACGTACGAGGACAGAACGGTGGGAAATTTGAAAATGACAAAAAGTGACATTCTCTAAATTCACTAAAATCACATAGTAAAACATTACTGTATCAAACCATTTCACATACATTTTGTCCCGAGTGCTTTGTCCTGCGCCCTGCCTGCATTTTTACTGTTCTTTCTGCCTGGAAACTGAAAAATGTCCATGGCG